TACTGGCTCGCCTCACGTGGTGGAAACAGCGGAGGGATACGAATACCCAGCTGTGTTCATGAGGTGGGATCTCTGCACCCGCCACAGCCCCTCCCTCCATGCTTTGGGTACACTGCATCTGTGCTTCTTGTTTTGTCCTAATGATATTACTAGACTTATAGATCCCAACTAGCCCAAAGTCCAGGGACTGGGGGGGGGTGACACCTATACGTACCTCAGACTTCCTCCCTAGCATATAAGTCAGTCATGGCATTCGGAATCTCATCACAAAAATGAGAGGCTGAGCTAAAATTAAAATGTATTTGAAACTGAGGTGAGTATATTCTGTAGAAGAGTAAACTGGGTTTCAGGTATCTCTTCACTTCCACCTTGCCTGCCCTCTGGTCTTGAGCTTCATGGAGCTAATCATGCCTCCCCTTTTATATCTTTCAGGGTCTTGATTCTTCACCTGAAACGATACAGCTTCAATGTAGCACTCTCCCTCAATCACAAAGTTGGGCAGCAGGTGGTTATACCAAGGTACTTGACCTTGTTATCGCACTGCACAGAAGGCACCAGGCCGCCACTTACTCTGGGCTGGAGTGCACATTCTGCAATGTAAGTGTGCAGCATTGAATTGGTGACGGTGGTAGATCCCAGGGTATTAAGCGCCCATGGCATCAAGGAGTCAATTGCCCTGAGCAGTTATGTATCAGGTGTAGTCCCCATCCAAGTCTGTTGCGTGGCACCCTGTTGTAGAAGAGCCCCGTAGAGGCAGAGAGGATTACCAAAATCTGGGGGGAGGTGAGCACGCTAGCAGGGAGGGAGAGATTGCAGAGGGATCTGGATAGGTTACAGGGGTGGGCTAACAGGAACAGGATGCGTTTTAACATGGACAAGTGCAGGGTGCTGCACTTGGGCAGTAGGAACCAGCAGCACACTTACACAATGGGGAACTCCTTACTCGAGAGCACAGAGGCAGAAAGGGATCTTGGAGTCATTATTGACTCCAAGATGAACATGGGCCGACAATGCGAGGTCATGGTTGGCAGGGCTAACCGGACCTTGTCGTGCATCCACAGGTGCATCTCGAGTAGAGCCAAGGAGGTGATCCTCCCCCTCTACGCGACGCTGGTCAGGCCACAGCTGGAGTATTGTGTCCAGTTCTGTGCGCCCCATTTCAAGAGGGATGTGGACAACATGGAGAGGGTCCAGAGGAGGGCCACCCGCATGATCCGGGGACAACAGGGCAGACCCTACAGTGAGAGACTGCGGGACCTGAACCTATTCAGCCTCCACAAGAGAAGGCTGAGGGGGGACCTGGTGACTGTCTATAGACTCACTAGGGGGGACCAGAAGGGTTTGGGGGAGACGCTGTTTCCCCTAGCGCCCGCTGGCATAACAAGGAGTAATGGGCACAAGTTGATGGAGAGGAGGTATAGATTGGACATCCGCAAAAACTACTTCACGGTTAGGGCGGCTAGGAGCTGGAACCAACTTCCAATGGAAGTGGTGCTGGCCCCTACCCTGGGGGTCTTTAAGAAGAGGCTGGATGCCTACCTGGCTGGACTCATTTGAGTCCCGTTTCTCTTTTTGGGGTTTTTGTTCTCCCGCCCTGGCGGGGGGTCGGGCTAGAAGATCTACTAGGTCCCTTCTGACCCTTAATCTATGAATCTATGAACATCTCGTGATGCAGCAGGGCTGGCTTTGGAGGCTTGAAGCTAGGATGGGACACTGTCTGCAGAATAACCTGTGCAATGGTGCTGGGCCAGGCTCTGGAGGATGGGCTGTGTGCTAGGAAACTGCTGTCAGTACACACTATAATTCAGTGTCAGCTGCAGTGCAGATGCTCTGTTGCAGTTAGCTTTGTTAGGCACGCCTTGGCTCTTGCCATGGGATGTCACTTAGTGTCCGGTCTATGCTGACTTCCCTACTCCCCCTCTTCTGTTGTTTATTCATTTATAAAGCTTTTCCACAGTGTTTGTCATCCTAGTATCCAGGCACTTTACATAGCATGTTTGTCCTTGTGATACCTCTGAAGCAGGGAATATGCATCCCTGGCCCTCAGTTTCCCCCTGTAAAAGTGAGAATCATTTGCCTGTTGCCCCAGGATGATTCATCAGTTATGGAGTTAGCCTGCTTCGCATCAAGGGCATGCTGCTGGCTCCTATTCAGTCCCACAGTGAGGTAGTGTAGCTAAACCACTCAGCCATGGCATGTTTATTTCAGGTATAGTCTTGAACATAGAGAGCAGCACTTGAGGTTAACCCAAAGGGTTTTTAACATCTGTTTTAGTAATTGGCAATTCTAACCACTGACCAGGACAAAAACATCTTCAAGCATCTTTGGGAGGATGGTATTTCTAGTAGGTTTTAATGGGACTCACATTTTTCAAGCCTAGTGTTTCCTCCTGATTAGCTGGAGAGATGGGATCCTGTTGCATCATCAGTAGGCTGGAAGAGCAGTCTTTTGTTGGGGGCAGTCTTCTGTGTCACTTGGACAAAGCTGAAACAACAGCAGTCCCCTGACAACTGTAGGTGTGAGGAAGTAGGGGGTGCTCAGGTGAGGTTGCAGTGGAATGAGAAATTTGAGGAGAAGCTGAATTAGAATAATTGATGCAACCTGCCAGAGGAGGTCATGGTTTTCAGGTCCTGAACATGCATACGTAGCAGGTAAGTTCTGTAGGGTTTCTTCTATGTGTATAAATATGGCAATAAGTGCTTTGCTTTTTTTAATAGATCTCGACCATTGAAAGCCTCTCAGATGGTGAATTCCTGCACCATGATAAGCACTTCCACACCTTGTAGGTGAGTCGCAATTCCACAATTTTGTCTGTGAGAGAGTTCTCTGAAAAGCTCCTAGCATGGTTAGTTTTTTTTTTTTCCTTGCCTTTCTCTAATGCTGCGGGATCTTCTTTATATCCATTCAAATCCCCTCTTGTGTTTTTTGTTTTTACTAAATTACTGCTTTTTCACCCAGGGTGGAATTAAAGGGTGGAACTTGTTGCCACCAGATGTGGTGGAAGCTGAGAGTTCAGCCAGATTCGCCAGGGGGTCAGACACATTCTTGGAGAAAAGGGGCATCAGGAGCTATTCATAGTTTTGCAGTTGGTAGGGTCAGAAGGGACCTGAGCAGATCATCAAGTCCGACCCCCTGCCATGGGCAGGAAAGAATGCTGGGGTCAAATGACCCTGGCTAGGTGTCTGTCTAGCCTCCTTTTTGAAGACCCCCAGGGTAGGAGCGAGCACCACTTCCCTTGGAAGTTGGTTTCAGATCCTAGCCGCCCTGGCTGTGAAGTAGTGCTTCCTGATATCTAGCCTAAATCTGTTCCCCATCAACTTATGGCCATTGTTACTCCCGGTAGTGCTTGGGAACAGGGACTCTCCCATTGCCTGCTGGTCCCCCTTGGTCAGTTTATTGACGGGTTATAGACAGTTTATTGAGTACGAGGTGAGGGGCACAGCCTCTGAATCAGAGCTTCCTGGACATTAAATGAAATGCTGGAGGCTGCAAGGGAGAGAGGAATGGGGGAAAATCCTTAGTCAGTCCAGTTCATTCTCCCTTCCAGCCTCCTCTGTCTGCCACTGTGTGACAAAGGAGACGAGGCAAGATGGACCTATGGTCTGACCCAGTAAATGGCAACTCTTACGTTCTTAAGTTAATAGATTTTCCCATGTAGCAGATTTCAGTTGGGTCTTACAGCTCCTTGACCCTGCAGCCTGTTTCACCAATATCTGAATTTTTTTTTTTTTTTGAAGACGGGGCTGTGAGTTAAACTTTTCTCCAGCACTGGGGAATCCTGGGTGTATCTTTAATTTTCAGAAAGTACACCTTCAAATCAAAGAGCTCGGCCATGCTCTGCATGGATTCAGACAGCGATGATGAACCATTGAAGCGCTCTGTGGCCCACAGCCAAAGGTTGTGTGATGTAACCATCAGAGAGCTTCCTCAGCAGCAACAGGCACCACCAGAAGATCCAGAAAAGGTAAGGGTCTGCTCCCCTCCATACAATTTGCAATGCAGGCAGTTTCCTATTAGCTAGGGCCTTGCTACATGTTACATCTATTATGCAGTTGACTGGTTAATCATAGAAAATGAGGGTTGGAAGAGTCCAACCCCCTGCTCAAAGCAGGACCAGCCCCAACTACATCCCAGACAAGGCTTTGTCTACCCAGGTTGCCACCACCTCTCTGGCAAGCCTGTTCCACTGCTTTTACTACCCTTCTTGTGAGACATTTTTTTCCCTAATATCCAACCTCAGCTTCCCTTGCTGCAACTTGAGGCCATTGCTCCTTGTCATCTGCCACCTGCCACCACTAAGAACAGTCCAGCTCCATCCTCTTTGCAACCCCCCTGCAGGGAGTTGAAGGTTGCTATTCAGTTCCCCCTCAGTCTTCTCTTCTCCAGACTGAATAAGCCCAGTTCCTTCAGCCTCTCCTTGAATCATGTGCCCCAGCTCCTGAACCATTTTCATTGCCCTCCGCTGGACTCGCTCCAACTTGTCCACATCATTTCTGTAGTGGGTGCCTCAAAACTGGACGCAGGACTCCACATGTGTCCTCACCAGTGCTGAATAAAGGGGAATAATCTCTTTCCTCGATCTGCTGGCAACGTTCCTATTAATGTAGCCCAGGATGCCATTAGCCGCCTTCACAATAAGGACGCACTGTTGGCTCATATTTAGCTTATCGTCCACTGTCACGCTCCCAGGTCCTTTTCTGCAGATTTAATCACGCAATAAATTTAGACCAGCCACATGTGGCAAGTAATTATCACACAATCAAAATGACTTTCCAATGATAAAAAGAACCAACCAGCTATAAAGTCAGTGCTTTAAAAATGTGTAACAACTCTAGCGCTAGTTTCTATCCAGCTGTAATTTCAGTGTGTAGCAGGGTCCTTAGAGTCACAAACAAACCCTTCAGAACCTCCCAAATCCCTTGCAACCTAGTGTCTGTGAACTCCTGTCTAGCACAGGCAACATGAAACATGCATATATATTATTGGCTCATAACTGGCACCGCAGTGCTAAATGGGAGTGCTTTTTACTGTGTTGGCTAATTGATTTCTCTGTATGGTTCATAGAATCATAAAATTAAACTAGATGACCTCTGGAAGTCCTACTTCTCTAACTCCCAGCCTGAGCCAGGATCATCAATTGTCTTGTGGTCCTGTTGGAAGCAAAGGCTTTAGGTCAGGTGTGCCAGCTACAAGACACGGTGTTCAGACATTACCTAGGGCATCTGAATGACTTTCTTACTGAAGCTGTGCACTGACAGAAACATGATGATGGAAGTCATCACTAGTAAAATTACCCAGTAAATATCCTTGTTTAACTGGGGCCTGAGACAAATGAGGCAGGGAATACAGCATACAGTTTAGATGCTCTGTGGACTTGAGCTAAGCAACATCTTTTGGACTCTGGTCCTGTTATAGCTGATAGACAGGGAAAAATTTCACTGTGTGCCAAGTGCTTAAATCAGCAGTTCTCAACCTTGTTAGGCTCAAGGCCCCACGTGGGAAATGTCATCTCTTAGATTTCACTCAATTTTTGACTGTTGACAGATCATAGAAAATAATTCTGTGGGAAAGGTCTCAGAAAAACCCGGACATTTCAGTGTTAAAAACATTTTGCCCTGATGTGGTCTATCTTTGGAATCATGTTCTTGCACCAAACAGTGTTGATGTTACATCACACACACACACCGGTAAAGATGATGTGTGTACGGATGGGATCTACCAGCTCTCCTGGTCTAGAGGAAATGGTGATAAGAACCGAATTCACTAACCGTAGGACAATACTTTTTCTCCCTAATCAATTAGTTATTCCAAACTGCAAAATATGTTTTGAGACATTTTTACATATCCAAAGCACTGTCACGATATTTAGCTAATAAATAATAATGGGGTTGGCAGGCCAATCAATTGACCAGTTAAATATTGTCAGTTGACCACATGTTTTTTGACTGGTCAAAGATGATGGCCATTTTACCAAAAAACCCTACATTTTTGTAGTTTTCTTGACAAATGCATAACTTAACAGTTTTTTGACACATTTAATGGGGCAATTTTTGCTTTTTCTGTGTATTATTTGGACCTATTGACAATTTTCTAGTTTTTGACTGATTATTTGACCAGTCAGTTGACCAAACTTTACCTGGCTGGTCAAATATCCAACCCTAAATAATAATAATAATAATAGTTGTAGTAACCATAGTATTCAAAATAATAATATACAATTTTTTTGCCTTTCCAACTGAATTTCAGGTTCCATCCAAAATTGTAGCTTGAAAATATCTGACTTAAAATCTCCTAAGAGGAAAAATACATTATTCACCAGCTTTTAACTATATGAAAGACTTGCATTAAAAATCAGTAAATATACCAAGCTGTATAATCACTTGAACGTGGTGTGCTGTAGATGTAGTGCATAGTATAAAAGACAAGCATGTTTTTCTATCTGAGCTGTGAATAGTATTTGGCAGCCCAGGTTCCCCCTTTGGATTCACCTGGGAAAAATGTGCATGTCCATGTAAATCCAAAGTGACCCCCCTGGGTTTTTCCTTCCATAGGGTTCAAAAAGAAATAAAGCGGAGTGTGATAAATCCGCTGACCTGGGAAGTGCTAGCTTTGATGGAATGAGTGAGGATGAGCTGTTAGCAGCTGTCTTGGAGATCAGCAAAAGGGAAGCTTCGCTGACTCTGAGCCATGACGAAGATAAGCCCACCAGCAGCCCTGACACTGGCTTCGGAGAAGACGAGGTCCAGGAACTGCCGGAAAATCTGGAATCAGTGGAGGCAGAGAAGCCCAAAACGGCTACAGAATCAGGTAGGGGCAAGTAATGTCTCTCCGCTGAACCAGAACTTCAGTAACTACAGAGCTGGTCATTTACAGCAGCAGACTGGTAACGCACAGGGATGACACGGATGAGCGCAGTACACATACGGAGTCTGATGCATGAGTACAGAGAGGCATCTGGATTCTCTGCTACTTGCTCTATTGAGTTTTGAAACAGTTGCCTGTAGGTTTTACAGAGTATAATGTAAGGTCACTACCAACATTTAGCAAATTTTTCAGCCTCCTGTTTAACGCATGCCAGTCGGCTTCCTAACCCCAATGTTAAATCATGTTGCAGTATTCAAAAACGAGTGCTTTGTGTTGAGTGCAACTCGATTCCAAAAACTGTCTGACTAGCTAACTATTGGCAGATGGCAGTGTAGCAGCAATGTCTGAAGATGGCTTTTGTGTGTGAAGTGATATTTTTTTCCCCAAAGGATAACTGAGAACACTTATGTAGTGAAAAATAAGTGGGTTTTATACTTTAATTTGACCTTTTCTCTAGACTATAAATGTATATATACATTTTTTTTCTAACGTACTTGTTCTTGCAGTCCATATGAGAGAATGTTTGCTTTCCAGAACTCTACCACTCCCACTCTACTGCTCTCCCCACATGCATGCATACACTTCAGCACAAGGGGCCCCAGTGTACCTTTGCATATTATGCCCTGCCACCCTCCAGAGAGTTGCATGCTGTTTTAATGTTCCTGATGCATTTTTTTGGTGACAATGGAAAATTTGTGCTTTTGCTATGCATTATTTGGATCTATTGGCAATTTTCTACAGTTTTTGTCTGATATTTGACCAATCAATTGACCAGACTTTATTTGACTGGTCAAATATCCAGCCCTAAATAATAATGATAATGAAGATGGTACTACTGTCAGATGGTCCCTTGGATTTCAGTGGGGATAGCTGAGTCAGTAGGAGGCAATTCTGTTGTCCTAGGCAGCATTAGAGACAGATACGTGAATTTTTGTCCTACCCTGACTTAAATATGCCCTGTTTGCTGCCCACCACTACACACTGCAGGAGACTGACAGGAGTAATGCATCAGGACCTTGCTCAAGGTCTGGGGGACACTAGCATGTGCTCTGAAGTGAGCACTGTAAAGCTGGTAAGCTTGAGTGACCATGCGCTCGGCTTCATAGTTTCATAGTAGCTAGGGTCAGGAGGGACCTGATCAGATCATCTCGCCTGACCCCCTGCCACAGGCAGGAA